CAGCAGAGTAAGTCCTAAGTCACTGAGCACGTGCCCACTCCAAGACAGCAGCCAGGCTGTGCTGGGAGGAGAAGCTGGAACTGGAGTTACAGGTGTCCCTGTCCACCTGACTCTTCCTATTAGCTGTATGACCTCAGTCACATCTCTACTTGTTTCAGGTGTGGTTTCACACTGGCAAATAGAAAACAGTAATGGTCCTCCGAGACTAGGAATATTCTAAGGAATTCAATGAGATGGCTATGAGATGGCTGTGACATTGCCTGGCATTGAGTGGGTAATGACAAAGTTTCTCCTAGTTTTGTCCTTCCTTCCTTCCTTCTTTCCTTCCTTCCATCATTCTTTTCCGTTTCTTCCTTCTTCCTTACCCCTCTCCCCCCTTCTTCCTTCTCTCTCTTACTCTCCTCTTTCCTTCCTCCTTTTCTTCTTCCCTCCCTCCTTCCCCCTTCCCTTCTTCTTTCCTTTCTTTCCCCTTACCTCCCTTCCTTCTTTTCCCCCTTTCTTTCTTCCCTCCTTCTCTTCTCCCTCTCTCCTCATTTGGTCCTGATAGGGCTATAGGCTCTAAGCATAGGCAGGTAAATGAAACCTAGCCCCAGCCCTTTAATAAGCTGCTGTTTCAGAAGTAGGTGCAGATACCCCATAGCTGTGAAAAAGGTGACTATTGCAAGGGTTGTAACAGAGACATAAGCAATGCTCTGGTGGAGAAGAGAAAGGTAATATTAATTCTGCCTAAGGGGACAGGAAAGGTGACTGACATTTCAAGGCAAAATAGAATCCTGCCTGGAACCCACCTACTCTGCATGGCTCAGGGTTGGCCTTGCGGCCAAGCACGGACTCTCAGCATGGCTACTGAACGTGACTGTACTTCAGCCGATGGATTTAACTCCTGCACACAGAAAGAAAAGTGAAAGTGACAAACCAAGTTAAAACAGGGTATGGGGGCAGAAATGTGCCTCGTTCCTAGAATGCTCTAGGGTTTCTATCCATTCAGAGATTCTCTCTTTTTCCTTTTAAATATGAGAAAACAAAGACCCTGTATCACTGGGTGATGTGCCAAGGTTGGAAAATTGGTCCCTGCTAGGGCTCAGATGAGATCCATGTCACCTTACACTCTGACCAGAGACCCATCTGCTGCTGCCTTGCTCTCTGCTGCCTGGAAAGAGGGGAGGGGAGGGAAATGAGGGAAAGAGACAGAGGGAGGAAGAGGGGAAGGGAGAAGTGAAGGAAGGAAAAAAGGGAAGAAAGGAAGGAAAAGAAAGAGATCATGAGGGAGGGAAGGAGAAAAAGAAACAAAAGAAAAAGTGAATTGCACATTTTTTTTTGCATTGGCAATAAAAAATTTGCAAATTCCTTCAATCTGTACAAAGTCCTCTATATTTTCTTGAATTTATGAGCTAGTCAAGCCATAGGAGTAGTGTTCTTCACTAAGGACAGAAATTCTTCTGAAATTGTTTTCCCCTTTCATCTGCCCTATCACACCATCACTGAGACTATCTGACACAATAAAATAGCTTGGGCACTTGGTTGCATAATTAATCCTTTTGTCAGGTCTCTTCTTGCAAACTTGACTCTCTCATATGCATAGGTGTCCCCTGGGACCATGAGGCAAGGACAAGAGGATTCTGATTCAAAGGGAACTGTGAGTGAAGCAGATCAATAAAGAGACATTATTATTCCCTCAATTGGACCCCCAACACATTTTTCAGTTAGAAATGGAATCTTAGACACATACTATTATAGTTTTATTATTACTGGTCACATCTATTTGGGGCTACCCCATTGTAACCATGTGAGAGCACTTTTGGGCTATAAAACAAACAGGATATCTAATGACTAGAACAGAATTGGCTAATAGGAAAGGAAAATAGCAAAAGCTGTACCCTAACCCAAGCTGCCTTGATTCTATAAAAGCATTTGTATTACAAGATACCTCATTGAGGACCCATTTTCCACATTATACATGATCACACCCTGAACTTTGTTTTTATTTTGGTGGCATTGTGAAATCTGGGATATTTGTCTTAGAGGCATCATAAAGACACAGCAGCCATAATTGATTAGAGCATCTGATGGAAAGCAGCAGCCAGGTGAGTGGCCAGGCTGCTGCCGCCGTGGGACACGTGGCCTGTCTCTCGTCTGGGGTGGCAAGAAGACAGAGTGGTGGCTGCAATGGCAGAAAGACCCAAGTCGTCCTGGACATGGAAGCCCTTCATCCAACCTGGGGGGTTCTTGGTTCTTTTTGTTGTTGTTTGTTTTTCCTCTCCTCTCCCTTCCTCTTCTTTCCTTTCCTTTTTTCTGTGGAAAGGGAAAGCAGCTTCCCCCCAGGCTTTCAAAGAGCCTCTCAACCCTTTTTAGTGACTCATTTAAGCCTGGTTCGACCATATCAAGGGGGTGGGGGGTGGAATTTGTCCCAGACTAGCCCTGCAACCCCCACAGATGGCCTAACTTTGTAGAGAAAGACTGTGTGATTACCATCTGAACATTTTCAGGGATTCTAAAATGACATGAGTAGGAATCACTGCCCTGGGAACGGATATTTCTATAAAAATTCCATTTCAGGGGTTAATTTGAATAGTTATTATTATTGATCTTTTCACTTTTCCCAAGATCAAAGGATAAAAACACAGGCCTCTGTCTAACTGTTGAGGCTTCTAGCAAAATTAATAAAAAAATGTTTTTTATGTGAAGTAGAACACATAGCAGCAGGAAAAACGGAGAGAAGGAGGAGAGAAAAGGAGATTGGCAGAGATTAAGAGAATACTTTGTTTGGACTTTTGTAAGTTTCTTACAGCTGCACGTCTATACCTCTGGGTGTCTGGGCGTGAAGAGGAGGAAGCTCCCAGCGGTCTGCTAAGCTGACGCGGCCTTCGACTTCCAAACCGAACACAGTTTAGTTTAGGGTTTTCAACAGCAGCCAAACCAAGCAGTCCACGGAGAGGCAAACCAGAGGGGGCCAATTAGGAAGGACGAAATTAAGGGAAAGAATAAAGAAAAGAAAAAAGCCAAGATGAAAGGTCCAGCGCAGAATGAGTGACAAGCCGGAGAATGGCCGCGCGGGGAGGGCGGGCGCGGGGCGGGAGGCGGCCGCGCCGGGGACTGACAGGTGGGCCGAGCGGCGCGAGGGAAGCCGAGGGCGGGAGGTCCTCCCACGGGGCAGCGCGGGCCCGCGGGGACGCCTCCCGTGCGGGGCAGCGCGGAGGGAGCGGCGCGCGAGAGCGGCGGGAGGCGGCTGCGGCTGCGGCGGCGGCGGGGCGGGAAGCGGCGCGCCGCTCCCTCGCGGGTCTCGGAGCCGCCCGCCCGCCGGCCGCGCTCCCGGCTTCTCCTCTCCCTCCGCCGCGACGCGGCCGGCCAGACCTCCCGGCCGCCGGCCTGGAGAGCTCCCCGAGCCCGGCCGCGGCCAAGAGCCGGGCGGGGCCGGTGCCCCCAAGGCGCGCTTTGTGGCGGAGAAGCGGGGAGGAGACCGGGATGAGCGGCCGCGGGCGGCGGGGCCACTGACGCGAGTTGGGGCGCAGCCTCCGGCCCCTGGCAGTGCGGGGTGCGAGTCCCCGGGGACGCCTGAGCTCGGCGCGCGCGCGGGGCGGAGCGCGCAGGTGGGGCTGCGCTCTCGGCCGCCCGCCCTGCGCGGTGCCCGGCCCGCCGGAGGATGGGCCGCCGGCCTCGGGCCGGCCCGCGCTGCTGCCCCAGCGCCCGCCGCGAGCCCGGCGTCCGGCCCGCGCCCCGCGCTCATGTATGTAGGTTGGGCGCCGGTCCGCGGGGTGAGGGTGCATGCTGGGTGGCGGCGCCATGCGCGCCGGGACGCGCCCGGGCACCGCTTCGCCTCCCTGCGGCTCGGGAGGAGCCCCCTCCCCAGCCCAAGTTTGTAAATACGGGCGACGTTTAGCCTGGGGCTTAGGTCGGCCGGGCCCCGTAGGGGGTGAGTAGAGGGCCGGCAGCAGCGGAGCCCCACTGGAGGGGGGTAGAGAGGGAGGGGACAGACGCACTGGAGTGCGCAGAGTCGGGGCGTTGAGGGAAGGAGGCTGAGAGAGGCTGTGTTGCCAGTGCTCCGCCGCGTCTCGGACGCTTCGGCCCCTTCGGGCGGCGGAAACTTTGGGATCCGGCAAGGCTGGCGGGGATCCGGGGAGTAAGAGGGTTCGTCCCCACCCTGCGCCCTGAGCGCCAGCCTCTCCCACCGCACACCCCAGTGCTGCCGGCCCTGCTGCTCACCGCCGGGCCCGCCTCCGGCTGGAAGCAGTTACAAGACGAGCGCTGCGGCCGGCGACCTGGCTCGCGTCGCTGCCCGGAGCCGCCGAGTGGCCGGCCCGCCCGGCGCGTGCGGTCCGCCGAGCCGAAGCCCCGGGAATCCCCGACCCGGCCGGCCATGGCCAGGGCTTCCTTGTAGCGGGCGTTAGAGGGGGTCGCGGGGAGGGGTCGTCGGCTCCAGGACTGGGGGCGTTTAAGAAGTTGTTAGAAATGAATCTCAGAGTCCGTAGGCGAAGCGTGTTGCCCCCTCTCCTTAGCACAAACCCCTAGAGCAAATGAGGAAGGGTTTCCCTCTTACTATAGCGCACATTCGTCCCTCTCTAATTCCACTGCGGAACCCCCCATTTCATAACTTTAGGGAAATGTGGCCAGACCTAGGGAGGGACGCCCGGGTGCCTGAATTACGCGGTTCCTAGCCGAGCTTGGCAGGGGGACGCGGGCCGGCTTCCTGCATTCCCATTTCCAGCACTAATTGCCGCTACATCAGAAACACCGCCGGCCGGTGTTTTTCTTGAACTTCGCTATCCACGTATGCTTCCACCATTTGCGGTGTCTAAGAAGCCCGGCCGCGCATCGACGCTGGGCGTGATGCCCCCGCCCCGGTCGTCCGGCGCGTTAATCTAGAGCGATGCCGGAGCCCGGGTGGGGGCCGCGGCGGGCCGGGGCGCGCGCGGGCCGCGGGGCTCAGTTGTGCTGCTGTTCTCTCCGCAGGGACGGCGGCTCCCGGCTGGCGGCAGCGCGCCCACGGGCTGTGAATGCGACTCGCCCTTCGGCCGCGCTCCCCGCCCGCCCGCCCGCCGGGACGTGGTAGGGGATGCCCAGCTCCACTGCGATGGCAGTTGGCGCGCTCTCCAGTTCCCTCCTGGTCACCTGCTGCCTGATGGTGGCTCTGTGCAGTCCGAGCATCCCGCTGGAGAAGCTGGCCCAGGCACCGGAGCAGCCAGGCCAGGAGAAGCGCGAGCACGCGTCTCGGGACGGCCCGGGGCGGGTGGGCGAGCTCGGGCGCCCTGCGAGGGACGAGGGCGGCGGCGGCCGGGACTGGAAGGGCAAGAGCAGCCGTGGGCTAGCCGGCCGGGAGCCGTGGAGCAAGCTGAAGCAGGCCTGGGCGGCGCAGGGCGGGGGCGCCAAGGCCGGGGACCTGCAGTCCCGGCTCCGTGGGGACACCCCGCAGGTGGAGTCCCTGGCCGCCGCCGCCCAGGACGCGATGGGCCCGGAACTCGAGCCCACGCCGGAGCCGCTGGAGGAGTACGCATACCCGGACTATCGCGGCAAGGGCTGCGTAGACGAGAGTGGTTTCGTGTACGCGATCGGGGAGAAGTTCGCCCCTGGACCCTCGGCCTGCCCGTGCCTGTGCACCGAGGAGGGGCCGCTGTGCGCGCAGCCCGAGTGCCCGAGGCTACACCCGCGCTGCATCCACGTCGACACGAGCCAGTGCTGCCCGCAGTGCAAGGAAAGGAAGAACTACTGCGAGTTCCGGGGCAAGACCTACCAGACTTTGGAGGAGTTCGTGGTAAGAAGCGACTTTACACTTTACAGGGAGGGGGAATGGCCCTGGGCCTCACTTTGAAGGAAGGGTGCTCTCTGGTCCCAGAGGTGTGGCGCGCGTGCTCATCTCCTTCCAGCAGGACTCTCAGCGCAGGGGTAAGCCTTCAAAGAGCAATGCGGCCAATCCACATCGATTCCCTCAGTGTTCACGGTGAAAGGGTTTCATTAGAATGAAGCCCACAGCATTGAAGGGGACGGACCCAGCAGGTATTGGCTGTACTTCTACTTTAATTTATTGCTCCTAATTTGAAAGTGCTGCTGGTGAACTGCTCAACTTGTTTTCAAACACAGGGTAACTTACCATGCCATGTGGGATATATTCTTCAACTATTAGCTAATTAAGAAAGACTATTCATATAAACAAACCTTTTCCCTAGATTATGTGTTCTGGATATCATGCAAATATTCTAAAAATTGAAAGAAAAAGAAAATGTTTGTTTATTGGGTGCCAAAACACAGTGGATGGCAAAACCAAGAAGTACAGTTTATGGTTAAAAACTGTTTCATTTGAGATGAATAATATTAGTAGTAATAGTAATAGCACCGGCCATTTGCTTCATGCTCACTGTGTCAGCCTCCAGGCTGTGTGTTTTCCTGTACATTACTTTAGTTAAACATATGCTAGAAAGCAGATTATTATCTATCATCTCCATTGTTATGGAAAAGAAAAAACTGAGACACGGAATATTTAAATAACGTGTTGAAGCCAATGTAGCTATTAAGAAGATTCACATTGCCAGAGTAGTAAGTTCTACTCCAAAGTGCATGCTTTTAACCCTTGTTATCTACCAAAAGCCCCGCCCCACTGGGGACTAGTTTGGATGGAAGTGCCTCCCCAACACGGTAGGTGCCAGGTAAACCCCTGCCTCTTGGCTAAGGGACTGGGAGAGTGATTCCAGACTCCCCACAGTAAGCTCAACCTTTGGCCTGCCGAGGTGTGGACATTGATTTGACACGCCAGAGCTGTCCCCTTCCGGCCTGCAGAGGGCGCCAGGGACCCTGCAGCCGCCAAAGCAGAGCTGGGAGGCAGGCTGGGAGGAACCTGCTGGACTCCCCCTCTGGGATGGGATTAGCTTGGGAGATCTGCTGAGTGCGTGGCCTAGGATGCGAAGGACATGTAGTTAATGAGTTGTAGCAATGAATTATCTATGGAGTGTTGTAGAACTATAAAGCCAGGAAAGACAGATCTATAGATACTGTACAAAATGTGGAAAGAGCACGGGAATTTAGATTCAGGAAAATGGGTTTCTATTCTGGCTTTGCCCTTAACCAGCTGCAGGATTGGAGCAAAGGACATGTTCCCTCTGGGTTTCTTTTCTCATCTGTAGGATAACTGACCAGCTAGTTCTAAGGCTGCTCCAGCAGGATATAGCTCTAGGCATACATTGCTTATTACTCACTATTGGGGTCAGCCCTTTGGGGAAAGACAATTTTGGTGAGAAACTCGTATCAGCCAGGCACTGGTGATACAACATTAACTAAGTCAGGAACCCTTCCCTCAAAATGCTTCCTGTCTCCTGGGGAGTCTGGTAGATACCTCTCCAGATGTTTGGGGTGCAACACAAAAGTGCCCAGGCGAGTGTGGCCAGGAAAGGAACCATGGTGTTCGCAGAGCCCAGAGAAGGGGCCTTCCACTTTGACCTGGGTTGGGGTAACAGGTGTGGTCCCAAGAAAATAATTATTTTGAGTGTTTTGTATTCCTAAGATAAAAGAACTCTTCTGAGGTCAAAGATAAGCAGTTGGTTTTTAATTAATAACATTTGTTGTTTGCACTGTTTGTAGTTCCATAGTCATGTGTTAGAACTATCCCATGGGGTAGGCTAGGGAATTATAAGTACTTGATTTAAAGAACCCACACACTTCAGAGTTGCCATTCTTTTACCTGAGAGCACAAGTAGAGAGAATTTAAACTTCCGTTTTAGTAATTCATTGCTAAATGCTAGAAGCCATGAAGGGGCTTTTGTCTATGGGGAGGGGAATCTCTGATTCCTGTTTACAAAAATTTGTAGTCAATAGGTAGAATGTGTTTTCAAACTCTGGAGATGGGAGATGATACTGACAAAAGGGAAATTGGAATATAATTTTGGGACGAATTGAGATACCAGTAAAGTTATTTGTAGAGTGTTAAGTGCATCTTCCATCTTGAAATAATATTTCATTCTTAACTTTCATGCAGTCCTTATCATATGTAGGATGCACACATGGGTGAATGTTGCAAAGATGTTACTAATTTTTAATTATATGCCTACTCCTATAGTAGGACAAGTGCATGAAAATTTTGTTGTGTTATATCATGTTTGTTTATTTCTGTTAGTATTGGGAAATTTCTAGGCATTTCCCTAATTTAGTACGGCTGGTGAAAGTCATTTAGCATCTATTTTTGTTGCCTTCAATGTACAAAAGAGGACACATTACTTTGTTAAGGGTGGAAATGGGGGTTTGCAGGCCTATTTCATGTTTTCAGAACCTAGTGGAATTTATGTGCCTCTGAACTAAGGCCGTGGAGGGTAATTAAAACTTCACATTTCTTTGCTTTTGGCTGGCATGATGTCTGTCCTGTGTATCAACACTGGTTATCATAGCTGATCAGCGGCTCTGATTGGTGATTGAAAACATGAATGTAGACCTGTGTAGGATCGGCTGTGAGTCCTGGGTTTTGTGGGCTGCAGTAATGGGGATTTGTTGTCATGCTGAGCACTGGGGCACAGCAGTTGTTAATGTGCCTGCTCCAGGAGTTCTGGGCTTCAGAGGGATAGATGAATTGTAGCCTGTGGTTTGCGTAGCACAAAATATATGGAAAATGAAAAACCAAAGCATTTTCTGTCTGAAGTGGTATGAGCTTCTCTGAAGAAAAGGTGATTCAAATGGAGATTATGGTACAATAGGGCCATGCTTGGAACACTGCTTACCTTAGCAAGAAAGGAGCAGAAAGGAAGATTACCCAGGCTGCTTCTTTCCCTGTGAGATGCACAGGCCCTTCAACCGTCTGTTCTCTGCTGAGGGAGAGAGAGACAGGGAGAGAGGGAGAGAGAGAGAGAGAGAGAGAGAGAGAGAGAGAGAGAGAGAGAAAACTAACTACTGATGGAGGCTGGAACCTCCCTGAGCTGCCGATAAACTCCAGAGCCGCCATGAGCCTGTGGTGTCTGTGGTGCGCAGGCGTTAGGCTCCAGCGGTGAGAGCAGCTTCTTCTCCCTATCTTCCTGGGCTTCCCTTTGGGCACATTTTCTTGCCTTCTCTGTCCTGGTTTCTGTCCAGCCCTGTGTTTGTCCTTCTCTCCGCACTGTTTCACCCCATCAAACTCCCACTCCTGTTTGATCTTAGCTAGATATTGGTTGAAGACCTCACTGATTCCACAAAATACCATTAAGCTGCTAATAATGAGAGTAATAACCTCATTCCTCCAGGGATGCTTGTAATTTAATTTGTACATCCAAATAAATACATAGTTAATAGTAGAATTTTCTCCACTGCCTCTCAAATTATGCCAAGTGTCTTATTCTTCAACTTACACCATTAGGCATCCAACTTAGAAAATGAAAAGCGTGTCTATCAGTTTATACTTTTTAAATAAATGAATGATATTTTCATCTGTTTTCTACTTCCTAGAGTATATTTGTCTGCTGAACCACAGACTGGGTGGTTTAAACAACAGAAATTTATTATCTTGTAGTCCTAGAGGCTGGAAGTCTGAGATCAAGCTGTGGGCAGGGCTGATTCCTTCTGCGGCCTCTCTCCTTGGCTTGCAGATGGCCGTCTTCACCCGTGTCTTCACATGGTCGTCCCTCTGTGTGCATCCCTGTCCAAATGTCCTCCTTTATAAGGACAGCACTCATTGTAGTGGGGCCCACTCTTGTGAGCTCATTTTTAGTTTAGCTACCTCTGTAATGACACTGTCTCCTAGCACAGCCACATTCTGAGGTGTCGGAGCTCAGGACTTCAACATGTAAGTTTTAAGAACACAAAATTCAGCCTATAACATAGGGTGTCAGTGACCAGAGCTGACCTCCTAGAAACAGGCCCAAGGAGATACAAGCATTGTGGTGGGGGAAAGATGCATGAGCAGGTATCATTGGAAGAAAGTGTTGATAAAGAAGGTACAGAGTGAGTGGAAAATAAACTAAATGCCAAATAAACAGAACTAAGTGGCCCACCCGATGGCTCTGATTCTGTGTATGTTCCATTCTGAGAGTCACTGTAGCAGTTCTTGTATTAGTTATGTGAATGAATCTTTGTGTCGTAGATAACTAAAAGGTGACTAGGAAGGTCTCTGTTGAGCAGCTTTAAATTTCGCCCTGTGACTACCATCCAGTCCAGAACTAAATAACACATGAAATCCATTACTAAAAAAATGACCCTATTTTGTTCAACAAAACAAGTTGTTCCCATCATGGGAATCCTGGTCCCCTGGAGAACTGTGAAGGTGGAAATGGGGGTTTGCAGGCCTATTTCATGTTTTCAGAACCTAGTGGAATTTATGTGCCTCTGAACTAAGGCCGTGGAGGGTAATTAAAACTTCACATTTCTTTGCTTTTGGCTGGCATGATGTCTGTCCTGTGTATCAACACTGGTTATCATAGCTGATCAGCGGCTCTGATTGGTGATTGTATCAGTCTTTGAAGAGAAAGAGAAGATGAATTATTAATGAGTGTTGCTTGCTACACTGTCTTTCAAAGCATGAGAACTATTGAAAGGGAGATAACAGGAAGGGCACTGGTAGATGAAACAATTTGGGGCCACTGAGTTAAACCAAACCCTCTCTCTGACGATTTCTGTATTTGACTTGGCAGTAACCCCATCGCCAAATCTCATTTCCAGATTTTTATCAGTGAAAAAAAAATCTAACATGAAATTTGGAATCAAAGCCTCCATTAGATCTCTGTTGCAGTTATGAGGAAGTGCCAGTAAAGAGAAAGCCACAATTATTAGTACTTTTCAGTCTATTCTTGGCGTAATGTTACTTAACCA